ACACGGCAGTCCCCAGCTTAAAGTGGTTAGACAATATCCATACCTGGGAGCCATACATACCGACACATTATCGTTCACACCTGAACAGGCACACAGGCAACACACATGCTCATCGTCACTTACTTCACTCAGGCAAGTTTTTCGAGTTGCTCGGGACCTCCCTGAAAAAGATCGTTTGGCACTTGCAGACAGCCTCATCATGAATGCAAGGTTATATGGAGCAGGAACATGGTGGGGGCTAAATAAAAACGATCTACACCGCATACACATGGACATCTTAAAGATCTATCGTGTTAGCCTTAATGCCCCCAGATGTTCGGCCGAATCCCCGTCCGATGATCAGATCTTGGCTCGGGCCTGTCGACCAGAGACACTCGTCCAGATAAGAGTGGCACGCCTCAGGCTTTTCGGACAAATTTTGAATTCGGCTCCGTCAGTGCTCCTTGCGTTAGTAGTGGCGGAGAGTGCTGCAAACTCCGCATCGTGGCTCGAGCAGGTCAAAGATGACATGTATTGGCTACGACGTTCGGCCCATCAAGTCACAGAGTTTCCGACCCCAGTGGCCGACTTTAAATACTGGATTTTTTTTTTCATACGCTCTGCCCCACGACGATGGCAGGCCATCATTCGTACAGCTGCGCAGGCATGCGCAAATGAAGTTGCTAGGAGAGTAAGGGCGCAACACTGGGAGCGCACAATCATGGCAAAGGCGCACGAGGCAGGATTGCCACCAGCGCGAGACCAGCCCGCTCCATCCACCCCTCTTTCGAATCCCCAGTGCCCCTTTTGTGCGAGGACGTTTCCGTCACAGGTAGGTTTAAGTACACACATCGCCCGTGCGCATACATCGTACAGTGACATCGCACGGCGACATTTGTCTGGCAACAAGTGCCTGGCATGTGGAAAGCAATATGCAAGCACAGCAGTGTTGTTTCATCATGTGCAACGTGACAGCGCATTGTGTATGTTATATTATGTCCTGCACGTGCCTCCAATAGATGAGCAACAGCGCACGCTTGTGCAGGAGCAGGAGGCCCAAGAAAGAAAGGACAATCGAATTCAGGGTAGGCCTCGCACCTTTGCGACCGTTCCGTGTGTTGCGGGCGACACCGTCCCAATAGAGGCCCAGCAATTGCGTGCAAGGTTTACCCAGAGCGAAGCCAAACAGTTGCTCAGGGATCAGCATGATTTTTACGTCGGGGAACCCCCTCCCCCTCTTCCTGTACCTCCTCCTCCCCCCGCTCCTGAGGTCCCTGGATGGTTTTTAGATTTCCCGTTCGACCCAGAGGAGTGTCAAGGCAGTTTTGCCGACATCTACCCGCGCTCGCTTCGACGCAGGACCATTTTTATTGTCAACATGTTTAGTGGAGCCCGAAGGGTAGGAGACATCCAGAATGCAGTAGAGGTGACTCACCAGACAAACACGAGTGACCTGGAGATTTGGGTTTTAAGTTTAGATGTTGTTATTGATGAGATCCGAGGGGACCTCACCCACACGCCCACCATCGACCTGTGGGAAAATCATCTACTCGCAGGCCGGATTGCAGTCATAGGAGGGGGGCCCCCATGCGAGACATTCAGCGCGGCCCGATGGCTAGAGGGAGGACCCCCCCCACTGCGCAGTTGGCAGCAGCCATGGGGAATCACTCCCATCACAAAAAGGCAGCATCTCCAACTGGAGGTTGGGAACCTGCTGTTGCAGGCAACCGTTCGCCTACTTGTCGCAGCAATGACGTGTGGAGCTGCAGCGTGGATGGAGCATCCAGCACCAGCGGACTGGAGGCCGCAGGCAGTGCCATCATGGTCTTTTCGACCCTTGCAGGCCATCAGAGCAGCCCCAGCATCGGATTTTGTCATTTTCGACCAGTGCGAGCATGGCCAGATCGGACGTGCACCCACTGGTATTTTAAGCGTCAGGCTGCCTACGATGAGAGAGTATCTTCTAGACACCCCGGGTAAAGGCTTTTGCTCACACCCTCGGGGCACACACACAGCACTCACCGGCAAGAAAGAGTCGGGATAATTTCGCACGGCAGCCAAGAAGGTGTATCCAGCCAGCATGTGCAGCGCAATAGGTAGAGCAATGTTAGACCATGTTTTACTAACAGCGGATCTAGACAAATACATGGAACCCGACCCAACGGACCCCTCATTGTTACAGTTTTTTTGTGCCCTCGCTTTTTGACGATGAAAGCGGCCGCCCGCTGTATGGACCAGATTTCGCCATTGCCAAGAAAAGCAGGAAGCCCACTGCGTTCAGCAGATTGCGAGGCATCTTACACCCCAATGAGGAGAGTCTTGGGCAGGGAGATCCGCTACCTGAGGAGCACACCTCTCTTGGGTCTCAGCACTTGGAGGCAAGAGTGGCATCCCAGGCAGCCCCACCTCCTCCTCCCCCTCGACCTCCCCCCCTCACTGTGGAGCAGCGTGTTCGCATCGAGCGCAACAGGAAAGAAGCAGCTGTTCGCTGCAAGGCAAAAAGGCAAGAGCGAATGCGTATTGCACTGCCAGAGCAAGGAGTTTTGTTCCCAGAGCTGGCCACAAGGCCAGCGAGAGGAGCACCAGCAGCAGCAGCCACGTTCGGGCCGAATGACATAAGATATTGGCTAGTTCCAAGCCAATAATGTCGCAAGGCCACATCATGATTCCCTGCACTAATATCACACACACCCACACACACACACTCCGCACACGTGGCTGCAGCATGAAATGTTTCAATAAGTTTCTCAGCCAGACAGGTCATGTATCGGGACAGACAGGCGGGATAGACGGGAACGGTGGGTTGCAGGTTACACCGCAGGCCCGACCGTGGCAGGCCCTCCTCCACCATGCCCTCCAGAACTTCGAGTACCGCAAGGCCGGTATGGAGGAGGAGGAGGAGGAGGAGGAGGAGCCTGCAGGTTTAGTTTTTACATTTTCTCTTTTCCTTGGACTTCGATCCGTGAGGCCTCAGAGAGGCCTCGAGAGGGCGGCAGGTTGGGGATCGTGGTGGCTTTTTAGAGCATGCAGCTCCAGACTGCATGCTCAGAAACTGTTTTTGAGTTTTACTCCTCCTTGTGGCGCGCCAACGGGCGCGCCCCAGACGGCGCTGAGATGCTTGACGCGTCCTCCTGCCGAGTCGATCCGATCCTCTCGGCCGTGTGCGCCCCCCGCCTCCTTTCCGGGCTGCATGGGGCGAGCGCCCCCGGGGCCTCGAGGAGGAGGTGTGGGGGGGGAGGGGAGCGGCCCGGGGAGAAGGCGAAGGGGGATGGGTGGGTGGGTGTGCGTCCCCCGTCTTGTTTTCGGGCTGCAGGGGCGATCGCCCCGGGGCCTCGAGGACGAGGCGTGGCGGAAGGGAGCGGCCCGGGGAGAAGGCGAGGGGGAATGGGTGGGTGGGTACAGCAGATGCATGCGCTAAGACATCGCACTGCAAGAAATCCGGGAGCACGCTGCTCGGTTGGCCTTGGACCTCGCAGGACGCCTCCAGAACTCCAGCGGGTGTCAAGGGACCTCGAGGAATGAGACATTTCAGTGGTGCACCTGCTGGCAGACCAGCCTCTTAATTGGTGTCTACTGTAGGCCCAGAGGCAGAACAACGGCACATGCATAAACTTTAGAGGTCCGCACGGATTTCATGAATCTGCGCTGGGCTCCCCCCTTGGCGCGCGGAGCGTGCCAGCGGTGGCGCCCGAGGCATCGCCAGGGGGGCCCAGTGCAGATCCAATAAATCCCTGCGGAGCTCGGAGAGTTGATGCTTATGCAGTTTCTTCTTCGAGGGCCAGAGCGCCTGGCGCTTTGGTGGTCGGGTGCCTGGAGTTTTTTTCCCCAGCAAACCATCGAATCCAAACAAGGTCATGCACCCTATGGTCCGTAGCCGTCTGAGGAAAGGTTGCATGCCCGAAGTGATCAACACTGGCGGTGTCACGGAGCACTCCAGGCCGATGAGGACGAATAGAGGGATGGAGACGAGGGTGCAACGAGAAGGGGAGAAACGAATAGGGGAGAAGGGGAAGGGAGAGACGAACAGAGGAGAAGGGGAATGAGGGAGGGGAAGGGGTTAGCGAGAAAGGGCTGGGTGAGGGCGGGAGGCCGCGGAGGTAGGAGCGAGGGAGGGAGGAAGGCCAAGCTAGGAGCGCTCACGCAACATCTGACATTCTACCCCTCCCACCCAACCCTTCCTCATGCGCTGAATCCTTTTCCACCCGCCGACGAGCCTGTGAGGACCTGGGCCCTCGAATGGCAATTGCAGACTCTGGCTCATCGTGTGCTGCGCAATCGGAAGGGGGTGACAGAGAAGGGGTCAGGCGCCCAGACATCCGATGCCTTGCCTTCTGCGGCGCGGGATCGCCGAAGAAGTCCCGATCCTTTCCCCGAGGCCAGCGCTTCATTCTGCGCAGGCTTCTGACGGCTTGGAGGCCCTCTGAAGGCCTTAGGGATGCCGAAAGCTGTTGGAAGAACTCCACCTCCACTCTTGTGCAAGACGTTGGATATTTGTAGGGGCCTCCTAGATGGGGTCCGAGTAGATGGGGGTCGGAGGATCGCGCCGCATCGAGAATGCATCGCCGATGCATCGGCGACGTATCGGCGATGCATCGGCGAACACGGCGATGCATCGTGGAGAACATCGGGCTCCACATCGAGCCGCATCGTCGATGCATCGCCGGTGGGGAGCGATCCTTCGACCGTGCAGCCGAGCATATGATCAAGAAACATATCATTTGAGAGACATGGGCCAACTTCCCAACAATTTCTTCAAACAAACCTGGGCCACTTCTGCACATGAACGATATGGGACAAACGTGCTCAAAACACTGGGCCAACTTCCCGGCAAGTCGGACAAGAACCGCCAGCCCAGCTTTCCGGGAGGAGGCTTCTTGGTCAGATGCTCGACTGTCCTCTGACCTTTATCTGGGAGGCCTGAAACTCTGGTGCAAGACATTGGACGTCTGGGGGCGGGGGAACAGAAGATCCCGCCGAATATCCGCCATGCACCCGCCCCGCAACTCTCGCGGCACGCGCGCCTTGGCCGGCTCCGCCTCCTGGCTCGTCTGTCGGCTCCCAATGCCCTGAGGGTAGCGGTGATGCCCTGCTCTTCCCTCCGCCTCCTCCTCCTCCTCCTCCTCCTCCTCCTCCGTCGCCTCCTTCTCCTTCTTCGTCGCCTCATCCTCCTTCTCGTCCTCCTCCTTCGTCGCCTCCTCCTCCTCCTCCTTCTCCTCCTCCTTCGTCGCCTCCTCCTCCTCCTTTTTCGTCGCCCCCTCCTCCTCCTCCTCCTCCTCCTCCTCCTCCTCCTCCTCCTCCTTCTCCTCCTCGTCCTCCTCGTCCTCCTCCTCATTCCTCCTCCTCCTCCTCCTCCTCCTCCTCCTCCTCCTCACTCCTACTCCACCTTCTCGTCATCATTCCTCCTTCTTCTTCGCCTCAGGTAGCGGGTCGTCTTGCACCGCGTCAAGTGCCTGTTCACTCGAGCGCGGCTCCCCCGTCTGGGATGGAAGGCGCCAGGGTGAGCCCTGGCGGCCTCAGCAGGAACCCCGCAAAAGGGGGGGGAGTGTAGGTTGCCCCCAGCACGAGGGCGAACCCGAAAACACTGGATCCCCCCAAACCTGTCTTCTTGGAGGATCGATTTGTGTTTCCCATGGCGGAGCCGCCCTCGTCTTCCGTCCGCCGCCTTTCGCCGAGGAAGAGATGCCAACTGATTCGACCCTCGAAGGCGAGCCCTTTCCGGAACGCTCCATATGGACACCTTCCTCTGGATGCGGGGCTGTGTGCAGCAGCAGACTGTGCCCAAGTGGTCGACTGTGTGCTGAGCTCAGATCGTGTCCTTATCCTGCCCGGGCTGGGAGTGCCCTGCACGAGAGGACTGTGCGGTCTTTCAGCTCGCGCAACAACTCGCTGAACGCGCGGCTGTACGCCACATCTGCAACCGTACGCTGCGCATGATGCCGAACGAGACTGGGGCTGTGAGGAAACACGGCCTTGCGTCAGCCTTGATCTCACTTTGACTACTCGGGTCGGGTCAAGAACAATTATGCTCTAAATCTCTGGGATAGAACTCATCTCCAGGATTGCAGCTACTCTGGCTACTGGGCCTCCTCGTTCTTCTCTTCGCCCCCCCTCCTCCTCCTTCTCCTTCCCTTCCTCCTCCATCTCATTTTCCCCAAATGCTGCTTACACTTGGGGTTCTTACTTCTTTTTTAAGGAGCTGGGCGTGTGTGGCGGTCTGGCGGCTATGTTGTTGCTGTCACCGTCACGTCGCCGCCGTCGCCACCCCGTCGCAGCTTTGTCGCCGCCCGTCGTCCGGGCGTGTTTGGCGGTTTGGCGACTATGTTGTCGCCGTCGTCGCCCCGTCGCCACCTCGTCGCCGCCCGTCGTCTGGTCCTCTGTGGCGGTCTGGCGGCTATGTTGTCGCTGTCGCCGCTCTGTCGCCGCCTCGTCGCCGCCGGTCGTCTGGGCGTGTGTGGCGGTCTGGCGGCTGTGTTTTCGCCGTCGCCGTCCCGTCGCCGCTCGTCATCAGGGCCTGCATTGCTTGGCATTGCTTGGCATTGCATTGCATTGACATGCAGTGTTTTGCGTTTCTTGCGTTGCATTGCTTTGCGTTGCCATGCCGTGCTGTGCACTGCTTTGCATTGCTTTGCAACGCTTTGCAACGATTTGCATTGCTTGCAGTGCATTGCGCCGCATCGATTGCTCCAGAAATATTTTACACCATACATTGCACCACGTACACTGTAACACATCAACTGCACCACATGTATTGCGCAGCATGTATTGCAAACCCTAGATGGCGCAGCATACATTGAACAGCATACCTGGCACCACGCATATTGCACCACATGGGTTGCACCACATCTGTTCCACAACATACGTTGCTAGAACCACACTGTGTGGGGTCCACGCTGGCTAGCATCACGTAACTCCTCACTGTCTCATTCCCAGACGTGTCTGTAGGGCGGGCTGGGGGCTTCGCCTGCGACTTCCTCACTGTTTGTGGTCCTGAAGCTTAACCTACACCAATTTCACGGACGGGGACGGGTGGTTTTCGAAATGTGGCTCTCGCCCTAACAACGCGCACGTTCGTCTCAAAAGTTCACGGACATTTCATATATGAATGGTGGTCCTTTTCAAACTCTGGCTCTCGCCTTAGCTCCTCGCAAATTTGTCTGAAAAGTCTGCAGCCGTTTCATGGATGGAAGGCGGCTCCTTTTCAACATGTGGCTCTCACCCTAGCGCCACACACATTCTTCTTAAATGCTTGCGGCAATTTCTAAACTGGAGAGCGGGGCGGTTCCAATCTGTGGCTTTCGCGTGAACGCCGCGCACATTAGCCTTCAACGTCTGCAGTAATTTCAAGGATGGAGGGCGACTCCTTTTCGAAATGTGACTTTCGCCGTAGCGCCTTGCACATTCGACTAGAAGGTTTGCAAAGTGCCACGGGCTCGTTGCGTTGAAGTCGCACGAACCATGTTCTGGCACGGTTGAAGATTGACAGGGCGCAACATTCATTTTGATTCGCGGTGTTGAATCCAAGGATGGTGTTCTGGCGCGGCTTAGGGTTCTCGGGACGTAACAATCACGTTAATTCGCGGCGTTGACATCACAGGACTGGTGTTTTGGCACGATTGAGGGTTCTCAGGCGGTTGCATTTCAATGGGGCGCCCCCCCCGCAATGAGCAACAATTATTGCCGTGACCCGTGAAGTTGGAACTTTGAGGCAGGGTGTACTGCAACATCGTTGATGTGGCTTGGGCTTACACTGGTGTTACTCCTCCTCCTCCTCCTCCTCCTCCTCCTCCTCCTCCTCCTCCTCCTCCTCCTCCCTCTCCTTTTCCTCCACGTCGCCGTCGCCGCTTCTTGCCCAGTGGCAGATCCCGTGCTACATCACTCCCTTCTCGTTTCCACCTCCTCCTGCTTTCCATCCTCCTCCCCTGCTGCTGCTGCTGCTTCTCCTCCTCCTCCTCCTCCTTCTTTTTTTCTCCTTCCCCCCTCGTCATCCCCCTCCTCCTCCTCGTCGGGGAAAAATAAAGGAGGAGGGACAAGGAGGAGGAGCAGGAGGAAGAGGAGGAGGAGGAGGAGGAGGAGGAGGAGGAGGAGGATGACCAGTGCAAACCCAAGAATCATCGACGATGTTGGAATCCACCCTCCCTCCAAACCCCCTTTCAGAGGCCCCTACAAGGGCTCATTTCCATTGAAGGAAAGGCCTCGTTGGAAGACAACCGTTTGACGATCCTGCAGCATGCCAAATCATTGTTCTCGGGATTTCAACGCCACGTATCAACCTGACTGCTGCGTTTTGACGATCGGGAATCGTGCCATAACGCCATTTTTGGGATGTCCGCATCGCGGATTAGCTCAACTTGTGCGCCCGCATAATCCTGAGTCCTTCCAAAGCACCATCCCTGGTACGTTGATCTGGGAATCCATGGAACTCTTGCGAATGTTGTAGACGAATGTGCGCAACGCTAAAGCGAGAACCGCATTTTGAAAACCACCCGCCCTCAATCCGTGAAGCTCTTGCAATTTGTTATAACGAATGTGCGCTGCGCTGTGGCGAGAGCCACATTTTGAAAATGACCCGTCCTCAATCCGTGAAGCTCTTGCACGTTTGACTAACGAATGTGCGCGGCGTTACACATTTGGAAAACGACCCGCCATCAATCCGTGAAGCTTTGGAAATTTTGCAACACGAATGTACGCGACGCTCAATCGAGAACCACATTTTGAAAACCACCCGCCTTCAATCCGTGAAACTCTTGCATATCTTTAAAACGAACATGCGCGGCGCTAAAGCGAAGACCACATTTTGAAAACCACCCGCCCTCAATCCGTGAAGTGAAACCCTTGCAATTATTAATAATGAATGTGCGCGGCGCTCAATCGAGAGCCACATTTTGAAAATCACCCGCCCTCCATCTTCGAAGCTGTTGTCACTTTCATAAGTGGTGAGGAAGTCTCAAGCGAAACGCCCGGCCCGCCCTAAAAACTTGCCTCGGGGTGCGACAGGGAGAGGCTATCTATCAGGAGAAGGAATTGATGATGAGGGGGGAACAGGAGGGGGAGGAGCAGCAGTAGCAGGTGGAGGAGGAGAGGCACGAGGAGCAGCATCAGCAGGAGGAGGCACACGGAGGACCTCCTCCTTTGATGCCACGCATCCTTTCCTGTCTGTGGTAAGGTGTGTGCGTGTGTGTGAGCGCGTGTGTGTGTGTGTGCGTGTGTGCTGCAGCTGCTGCTGTGTGTATGTGTGTGTGTGTGTGTCTCGGCTGCCTGGCGCCTCCGCTCCGCCTGCCCCCGCCCCCCCTGGGCGCGGCTCTGTCGCCCCTCGCCCGTCCAACTCTGGCGCGGCCCTCCGCCCTGCCGCCCTCCGCCCGCCGCCTTTCCGGGCAAGGACTCGGCCGCCCCCGCCCGCCTCACTGTGGCGCGGCTCCGCTCCCCGCCTCTCCGCGCTGCCCTGCTGGCTCCACCGGCGCCCGCCCCCGCTGCCCCCGCGCGCGCCCAGGCGCCCTTAGCCCCGCGGCCCGCCGCCTGCCGGCCCGCCGCCGCCCGCTGCTGCCCCGTGCGGGGCCGGCCTTTTCCTTTGGACGGCGTGGCGCGGCGCCGGTTCGCGACGACCAACAAAAAAAAGTGCGCGCGTGCCTGTAACTGCGAGGCCCTCCGTGACGCCGAGGCTCTGCTGGACGCCCCGCGCGCCACCTCCTGTTGCTGGCTCGCCGCGCCCCCCCCCTCGCCCACCGACGGCGGCGCCCCGCCCTCGGTCGGCCTCGCCCACTCGCTCGCTGATCGCCAGGGTGGACCCTCTGGGTGGATCGCCATTTTGTCCTCGCCGTCCGTGCTGGGTCCCCACCGAGCTGGTCGCTCGGGCCGCTCTCGATCCTCGGGTCCGCCGGCGCGGCTGCGTCGCTGGCCGTTTCGCTCCCCCGCCTCGCCGCGGCCCGCTTCTGTGTGTCTCAGCGCGGCGCTGTCGCGTGCTTCGGCAATTCCCCCCTGCACGCCCTCTCCCGGTTCGGCGGCCGGCGTCACTCGCGGCCCACCTTCCTCCCACCCTCCAGTGCCTCGACTTTGAGGTCACCTGCCGCGCCTCTCTTTCTCTGCTGTCATGCTCGATCACCAGGGAGGGCCCTCTGTGCTGGTCGCTTTGGCTTTGCAGGGCGCACCCTCGCGGGTGTTCTCCCACCCAGTGCTCCTGGTCGTGGCACGCGCCCCCCCGCTGCCTTGGTCGGCTCCCTGCCGCCTCGGCGCCCGCTCTCCTTGCTGGCAACGGGCCGTCCCCGCCCTCGCCTCCGCCCCCCTCTCAGGCGCGGCCTCGGCCGCCCCACCGCCCGCCTGACTTTGGCGTGCTCCCTGCCCCGCTGGCGCCCCCGCCCGCCCGCTTGTGGCTGCTCGCTCTGCCTGCTGCTGCCCCGCTGGCGCGCCCCGCGCGCCCCCCCCCCGCTCGCCGCCCGGCCCCGCTGGCCGCCCTGCCCGCCGCTACGCCTCCCGCCGGCCCGACTGCTGCCTTCGCTGCCCCGTGAGTGGCCGGCTGACCTGCGCGCGCGCGGCCCTCGCGCGCGCGCCGGACGGTGTGGCGCGGCGCTTACCCGCGGACGCTCGAAAAGTGTGTGTGTGTGTGTGTGTGTGTGTGTGTGTGTGTGTGTGTGTGTGTGTGTGTGTGTGTGTGTGTGTGTGTGTGTGTGTGTGTGTGTGTGTGTGTGTGTGTGTGTGTGTGTGTGTGTGTGTGTGTGTGTGTGTGTGTGTGTGTGTGTGTGTGTGTGTGTGTGTGTGTCTGTGTGTGTGTGTGTGTGTGTTTGTGTCTGTGTCTGTGTGTGTGTGTGCTCACGGGGCCCCCTCACCCCTCCGCCTGGAGGCCTCGGGGCCGCAGGTCCCCGCATCGGCCGGGCGCGCCGGAGGCGGGCGCCCCCCCCCCCTCCCCCCAAGGGCCTGGCCCGACGGGCTCGGGCTGGGGCTGATCCCGATAAACTGCACCGCCACCGGCGTGGGCGTCCCAGAGCCGGGCTGGAGCAT